ACCTCAGGTGATCCACCCACCTCGGCCTCCCAAAGTGCTAGGATTACAGGCGTGAGCCACTGCCCCTGGCCTATACTGCTTATTTTCATGTGTGTAATAGTTCACAGTCACAATTTTGATTGTAAAAAGGTAACGTTCTCTATTTAGAGCAAGCCCGAATTCTACTGCTGGTAGAAAACTTAACTTACACACTCATGGAAACTCAGACCTACTTCAGTTTGTGTGGGATAAATTCAGAATCTTTCTGGGCTCCTCTCCACACCTTTGAGTGTGTGGAGCCTATAGACTCGGATGCTTAGGCAGGTGCATCCATCTGGCCGAGCCTGAGTCACACGCCTTCACACAATCATTCAGAAACAGAACAGAGGGCCAGGCGCAGTGGCTCACGCCTGTAATCCCAGCACTTTGGGAGGCCAAGGCAGGCAGATCACCTGAGGTCAGGAGTTCAAGACCAACCTAGCCAATATGGTGAAACCCCGTCTTTACTAAAAATACAAAAAATTAACCAGGCGTGGTGATTCGGTCCTGTAGTCTCAGCTACTCAGGAGGCTGAGGTACAGGATTGCTTGAACCCAGGAGGTGGAGGTTGCAGTGAGCCGAGATTGCGCCACTGCACTCCAGCCTGGCAACAGAGAGAGACTCGGTCTCAAAAAAAATTCCAAAAAACAACAATAGAACGAAGGAAATTTCCCACACCCTCAAAACCCCCAAGCTGCCAGAGTTAGACAGTGTCTTTTACATTCAAATAGAGATTCTACCACATGCTGAAAGCCAGAAACCAGCCATTGTCAATTGTTATCTTCATTCTTAAAAGGGGAAATTTCGTTTCTGTCCTAAGTCTGTTTCCCCAGAACATGCTGCACCCCATGACTCAGCCCCTTCTCAGTGTCTATGCTCTTACATCATTATGAATTATTTCCCAAACTAGTTTACGAAACAAACTATGGTTTAAGCCCTCCAGGCTTTGGCTCTTCATTGGCAGAGGTTTTCGGAATAAAAAGTCACTGTAATGGCCAGTGGGTGAAAGGCCATGACAACTAGAAAAGTGGAGTAAAGAAAATGGCAGAAAGTCTCCTTATTTTATCCTGTTATGCTTTCTTTACTACTATACTCAGAAAATAAATGGGATACAGCCAAAGATATAGTTAGAGGAAAATAAGCAGCATGATAAATAGGGACATAGGTTTTTAGTTAGACCTGGGTTCTGCTTTTTTTTTTTTTTTTGAGATGGAATCTTGCTCTGTGGAAGTACAGTGGTACGATCTTGGCTCACTGCAGCCTCTGCCTCCTGGGCTCAAGCAATTCTCTTGCCTCAGCCTCCCAAGTAGCTGGGATTACAGGTGCATGCCACCATGCCCAGCTAATTTTAGTAGAGACAGGGTTTCACCATGTTGACCAGTCTGGTCTTGAACTCTGAACCTCGTGATCCACTTCGCCCAGCCAAAAAGTCTCTTCTTATCGATATCTGTAGCTTAGAATTCTGAATCTTACATGCATAGACTTATAAAAATAGTCTATTACCTAATTTGGGGTCTAGAGGGAGATTCTCTCCTGATGTCTGATATTAAAATTTCCCTAAAATAGCCTGATATATGAAAGATGGTTATTTATTTATTTTATTTTGAGATGAAGTCTTGCTCTGTCACTCAGGCTAGAGTGCAGTGGCAAAATCTTGACTCACTGCAG